TACATGAGAGGGTCACAGATCCTCCTAAGGTTACAACAGGGTTCGGCAGTGCAGACAGGGTAGGTTTGTTGTAGACACCTAGGAGAGATACATGTGGAATATTAAATGAGTTCACATAGTCTAGATTGTCCCCAGACCCGAGTAATGAGTGGGGATACATTCAGAGCAGACTTTTCTAAAGAGTCACATCTGGGGATTCATATGATTCCTGAGTCCCACTCACCTGTCACCACCAGCTCCAGGGCGTCACTCTTCTCAGTCCACCCAGCAGAGTTATAACAGTAACAGTGATATTGCCCTGCATTATTCTCTCTCATGGATGGGATGAAAAACTTAGCCCCGTGATCAGGCACTGGTGCAGTCAATCTGGCCCAGGGTGCTGGGCTTCCTTCTTTATACAGGAAATATATTTGTGTTTCCATTGTACCCGCACACCAGATGCTCACAGGATTCCCTGAGGTGATCACAGAGCCTGGCTCAGCCCACATTCTGGGTTTCTGGAGGGTTCCTGAAAATAAGTACATGGGAGGCATGTGTGATTTTACCAGTTACATGCTGAATATGAAACTTGCAGTTCACACTTGTATAACAGAAGAACACATAGGATCATGTGAACATCCATCTATCTGCTGACCTTGCCAGGTTCCCTTCTCAGAACACCCTGCAGTGCTTTCTGTATACTGACTCCCATAATCTGCATGTTGTATTGTGGACTCAGAAACATGTCCTTTCCTTTGTTCATCACACATTAGGGTCTCCTTAGGAAATCTATTTCAGGTTCAGTAGCATTCAATAGAGAGAATGAGACTTTCTCACCTGAGATTAGAAGCTCCAGGATGTCACTGCCTTCTGACCACACTTGAGGCTCTCCTGAGTAATAGCCATAGCATTTGAAACTCCATCTTTCACTGAGTGTGGTGGGACTCACTTGGAATCTGGCTGAAGACCGACCAGTATATACATATTGTGAGCCAATGGAGCTGTAGAAGTGCTCGTTCTTAATTAAAATGAACCCATCATATCTCTGATGTGAGATACATGAGAGGGCCACAGATCCTCCTAAGGTTACAACAGGGTATGGCAGTGCATACAAGGTGGGTTTGGTGTAGACACCTAGGAGAGATATATATGGAATATTAAATGGGTTCACACAGTCTGGATTATACCCTAGACCTGAGCAATGAGTGGGAATACATTCCGAGAAGACTCTTCTAAAGGGTCACATTTGGGATTTCATATGATTCCTGAGTCTCCACTCACCTGTCACCACCAGCTCCAGGGGGTCACTGTGTTCTGATGTTCCATTAGGGCTTTTATAATAACACCAGTACTGGCCTGCCTCATGACTTTTAATGGATGAGATAAAGATCTTGTCCTTTTTTTCAGTGTTTTCATGAGCT